CGACGTCGCTCTATCCTCGAATCCCTCGAAGGATCTCCCACAAGGTCGGGAGGGGAAAAAAAAAAAAAACGAAGCGCCGCGCGAAATGAAAACAATCGTAAGAAACAATGTCCCACTCGTGACCTGTATATATCTTTCGGCCGTTAACTTGGACTTTGGATCTTTCGTCGCGTGGCCCCGTTTCGCGCGAATCCGCTTCTATTATCGTCTGGGAGACAACGAGATTCTTTCGATATACTTTTATCTATCGTCATCGAGATAATAACGAATCTCCGGTGTATCTCGTCATTTTGTCCCTGCGCGGCTTTTCCCCGCTAGACACAGAATCGACGGAACTTTCAACGTGATTACAAATCAACCTTACCTTACCGTCACAATCTTACCCAGAGCTGGCAGTTCGACGAAGGCGTTCTCGAATACTCGTGGCTGCTTCCTGCTCCCGGCGAAATAACGCGCTGGACAATCGGCGAGCAACAACGGAGCGTCGCCGCCGACGTCGATCATCGCCGTGACGCGGTTTTCGATCCTCGCACAATGCCCCTCTTCTCCTTCTTCTTCGTCGTCTTCCTCTTCGAATGTTCCTCGGCACGTGACGCGCCGGGCGGCGCGCTCGATCGAGGTGCGTCACACGCAGGAAATAAATCGGACGCGTTGTTAGATCGTCCATCACTCGCGGTAGATCACTCTCTCTCTCTCTCTCTCTCGCTCTTTTTTTCTTCTTCGGCATCCTCTCAACGGTGATCTTCTTCAAGGATCAAGGCTCTTCGTAGTCTTCCTCGTCATCCACTGCACAACACTGAGACTAGGAGACTGAATAAGGGAAGAGAGAGAGAGAGAATAGGAATGCACGATGAGAGGATGAACAAGGGTTCGATGAGGATCGTAACGGAAAGGAAGACTTCTTCGGGAGATGAAGAGTCGACCGGCTACGACGAGGTCTTGAAGCAAACTGCGGCCACGGCCAGGTGTCCCGCCTCCTTTATTCGTTTTGGGCCCCAAGTAGTGGGGGGAGACCCGGGCTTATTCTTATTTAACAGCAACACGAGAGAAGCAGGAGCAGCAGCGACGGCACCGACGACGACGACGACGATGGCAATGCACAACGCACGACCCAAACGGCACGGCCCCGAACGCCAGAAGAGAACCTCCCTCTTGCTTCCTTTTCGTCCCTTTTCACGAGGCCCTCTTCTCTCTCTCTCTCTCTCTTCCTCCCTCCCTTTGCCGGCCTACCTCTTCCTTTCCTCGCTTTCTTGTCCTCGGCGTCCCTTGTGCATCTTTCTTTCCCTACCGGTCTCTCTCTCCTTCTTTCCCCCCCCCCCCTTCCCACCGTTTCCCTTTTTAGTTTCTCCGAGCATTATTCCGATCGCACGTCCGGAACCCGCCAAAATTGTATCAGCTGTCCTCTGGATTTTGCCTACGGCTCCTTTCAGCGACGTGACGCAGCCGCGACCGCCCCTCGTCCTACCTCCGTCCAGGTCCACCGTCCCCAGGTCTCGTCCAGGTTGCTCTTCTTCCGTCGAGATAGGTAGGCGACCGGCGAGCGGCGACCAATCGGAGACCGGGGGACGCAGCCTGAACGTACCGTCGGGACCCGGGGGAGAAATCCCGCCATTCGGCGGCAGGGAAAGGGAAGGAAAAGAGGAGCGATTAAAATTAACGCTTGACGATTATACACGCGTGCGTTGACGGTTTGAGCTTCGCTCGCCGTGTGTGATTTACGACGATGTGACAGATATCCGCCGCGCGGCAGGCGGCTTCGTCCTGCTCTCGAGCTGACTGCCTGCGGCCTCCCCGCCTTCCTCGTTCCTTCCGATCGAGTCCCATCGATTGCGATGGATATAGCGCTCGCGTGCTTCCTAACGGAGCACCGGATTAAACGTGATTTATCGGAGCGAAAACTTTGAAAAAACCCTACGCGAATGTGTGATCGATTGTACCTACCGTTCTTGCAAGATTCAACGCGCACAAAGACGTAAACGAATGTAAAGCTTGCCTCACTCTGTTAGGTAATCTCGAATCTCACCATGGAAATTCTATTTGCAATGTTACACTTTTATGTTTGTATATTTTAATGTACATTCTTATGTGTGTATGCATTCTAAAATTCTCCAAATTATTATATTACCATGGCGTGTATAAAATGAAACAAAGAATCTTATTTTGAATTCTCAAATCATCAGTTAACCTTTTTGTAAATGTTATTTGTAAATTTATAGAAATACGAAATTCGGGTAATCTTTTGATCTCACTTAACGGTGGGCAACTGAAATAAATAGTAAGGCAACGAATGTTAATATTTTATGAAGATTTTACTCTTCGAATAATACCCGATGTATATTTTCCGATAAATTTCTTGTAATTTTTCTTCATCTTCAACACCGACCAATCATGCTGTGCAACGAAAAAAAACCGCCCTCTCTCTTTCTCTCTCTCTCTCTCTTCGTTAGTGTTTTATAAATAATGCCTTGTAATCCGCGCGCGCGGGACAACGATTGCCTCGTCATCTCGCTAAGGTGTTTAGCCCTGTTTACTCAGTAATTTTACGCATCGCGGAACGTACACATGCTCGTTTTATTCGCCATGCCACATTTGATTATGCCCATCTAAAAATATATGTAAATAAGATAGCCACTCGAATTGCGAATGTTGTTTTTAAAGTCATCGTATGATACGTTTATAAATTGACTTGACAATTACGACAAATTCCGAATAATTAATTGCAAAATAAAATACATAAATTAACAATAAGATATATTCTTAGATTTCAATCTCTCATCTTTATAAACAAATTTAAATAAAATTTTGACATATTAATTACATTGAAATTATTCGGAATTTTGATGTGTTTTTGATCTGTCTGTCAATATATATATAATTTTTTTCACCTCTTTACTATCACATTTTACAGGACTTTTGTTCGCTGAAGATATAAAAGTGAGAACAAAACATAATTTGTTCTTTATTGTTAAAAAAATAGAATTTTTGTAGCGTCATAACGAAGTTGACGCAAAAAATAAAATTTTTTTACAATTTAATATAGATATTCATGCTCGCTTGACAGAAAAATCAATTTAGACCTGATGTTGGCGTTTTTTTTTATCAATGCGAAACTCGTGGGACGATCGACTCTTCTCGATCGATCCGGAACACCTTGTATAAAAGTTGAATTACATCGTAAGAGAATTTTAAACTGACCATTAATGCAGAAATGATTGATCGTCAGATTGCGAATTGACGAAATAATAAAGCGAGATCCGGAAGAATGACGTTTCAATCGGGGCGCTGCATTGCGACGCGATTGTACCGATTTCAAACAGTTCGGTCGCTTCCTCTCGGTCCGCGCGCGTAACACACGTCCCGCGGTATCACCTGGAACAGCTGAAACTTACGTTCACCACGTGTTCGCGTCATTAAGAACGTAGGCTTCACTTTGTAACAGGTTGGAACGCTCCTCTCAATATTATTAGCAGCACGCTTCCCGTTGTTGGGCATACAATATCATCTCTGCTCTGTCCCCATGTGATGAATTTCATAAACGATACTTTTAAAAGCTTCTTTGAATCTTTATCCTTCCATCTCTACAAAGTCTTCTACAAAGTCCTCTTACTCGCTCCAGTTTTTTTTTTTTTTTTTCCTATCACGTGACACAGCCGGCTTCGAAGCAGCAAATTCCTCAAATCCGCCAAAGGAGCGCACGATCTTTGTAGAAATAGTATACGTATAACTCGCAAGTATTTTTATTCTCCAGACGTATCTCGACACGTATATCGGCACTTATCCGTATACATTTCTCTCCTTATTCCCTTTTCTAGCGAGAGATGAAGAGGAGGAGGAGGCAAGGGGTGAGATAGAGAAAGAGATCGCTCGATCAGCTGGCGACGCGAATGTTTATCGCCACCACAAAAGTGTAATCGTCGCACAGCGATTTCCTTTATACCCCCGAACTCCCGCGCGCGATCGCTCGGTTCAGCCGCGCGGGGCGAACGGCGAGGGAGGTGTCGAAGGGGAGGGGGAGGGGGGGGGGCAAAAGGGAGAAAGAAAAATCGAGGAAAGGGATGATTGAGAACCACTTGTAGGAGGACAGCTGCGCTCTGCGAGCGCATCTGCTGTCGGTTGCGCGGGCACGCGCTCACATATACTTACGCCTCGTACCTACGTCGCGCCGGTGCGTGCGATGAGAGGATGCGTGCGAGCACGCATACGAACGCATACCTATACGAGCGACCATCTCTTCCTCCTCCGCCTCATTCTCTACCACTTTCTTTTCGCCACTCTTTTTCTCACCGCATTTCCATGTCCTTTTTTCTCTTCTCTAAGGACGTCGTTTTTCTTCTCGAAACTCGAAGGATTGCAACTCTAACACGAATTGCAGTGCGAGTTTTGTTGTAATCGTCAGCATCGAGAGGTTATCCATATTTGTGTCTATTAAAAGATCTTTAATCCATAATTAATCACGTTGATCATCCTTCTGCAGTCATATTTTCTATCTCTTTCTCTCTAAATTTCTTTTACTCAGCCTAACTTCCTTTTATTGTTCATAAGGCTTCTTCTATTACATTATTAAATAGCTTTTTAACTTAAATGTTAAAATTTCATTTAATAAAAATTAACATTTGAACAAAAGTGAAATTTAAGAATGAAAATTCGCTCACATAAAAAAACCCCAGATAGTAGATGGAGAGAGTTAATTATTTTTTTTATATTTTAACATCTTCGAAGATGAGGAAGAAAATCTGAAGGGACGATACTTTTTACGTTCAAAGGAATTCTGCACCTCGAATCGTTCCGCACGAGGTGCATCATTTCTCGAATTTACTGCGAATCAACTTGTCCGCCTATTTTCGTAGAGTACTTAAAAATTATACAACTATATTGAGTCGCATTATGCTTGTATTAACCATATTGTATTTTATTCTATCGACCTTACATGGAAGTGAAGTGGCTTACGCCCTAAAACGTCACATAAACTATTCTCTATTCTATTCGGTACCATTTTGCCTTTAAACTGTGTCCCAAATCGTTTCCACTTCCTCCTCTGCACGCTCTCTACCCTCTCCCCTCATTCTGTCTCCTTCTAAGCCCGAGGTTGACCGCTCCGGCGCGCGGTTTCCGTATGTATACCTCTTATACTCCACGTGTGCCGTTCCACCATGTGTATCATTCTCAGCATTCAGAGGGTTGAAGCCCGTTCCTTCGTCATCCCTCTTACCGGAGGAACTGGTACCTCGTCCATCTAGAAAGAAGAAAGACCCGGGGTCGTTTATGATGTACATAAACCGTTGCTGTACTATCTTTCTTCCCTCTCCCCTATTCGTACAGCACCCTTCGATATACAGGGCGATTCGTAACTAGCTTACGAAGTTCAAGGACACGGTGCTCATTCGAATCTCTTTATGGGAGGATATCGAAACGCCGACAGTTCTAGACCTGCCAATGGTGCAGTACGAAAGTTTGACGAAATTCGATATTTTAAACAGAGTTCGTTTCGGTAGAATTTTAAATATATATATTTTTGACCGACGAGATATTTTATGTGATTAAAGATATCTCTCTTTCTCTCTCTCTCTCTCTCTCTCTCTCTCTCTCTCTCTCTCTCTCTCTCTCTCACACAGGATGAATAATGAATTTAATACATTCTTCCTTAAGTAAATCCTCTACAATTCTATTTTTCCTCTATAATTTAGTTAAATGAAACTACATCTTAAAGGATAGCATTGTTGTATTCATAAGTACTGTGTCATCCTTGAACACTAAAATCCGGCGGATGTGGCCAAGCTAATGCAGGCCCGTTTTTCTACCTACTTATTTCATGTGTACTCCAGGGGGTTCCTCAAAGTTTAAGAAAGAAACTTTAAAGGATTTTTTGCCGACGTGAGAATTTTACCGAACTTTCCATAAACTTGGATGGTACTTGAAAGAAACATTTAAAACGTCTCAGAACATTCCACGACATGGAATGTAAATCTTTGTAAAATATTTTAACGAAGATTTAAAGAATTAAACGTTTAGCATATATATTAATTTTTCACAATTAATTAACATTAATGTGATTAATTATTTTATTTTTACTTTCAACAATTAAATATTTTATAGAATGATGAAAATATAAGAATATTTAAATAAATCGATCTCGAGTAGAAAATCTGAAATAATCCAACGACTGTTAGGCTGCGTTCGGAAACGTCACCCGAGTGCCTCAGTGTATCGTCTTATCCTCGTTTAACATGGGTGAACAACAAGGATAAGACGATACACGGGTACTCGGGCGATGTTTCCGTGAACGAAGCCTTAACCGTACCTGAAAATTTCAACGGTCGAATATCCGACCAGAGACGACGGGCTTGGGGTCTCAAGATTAAAATACCTATCTTTTCTTCCCAAAAAAACTATTTCCTTTTTCCGTTCCAAAAGGTTGGTTTCGTCGATTGCGAATCACCCTGTATACTGCAGGCCTGCTGCAACGCAGCTTATGTAGGACTTTGTGCATCGCGCCTACTGTCGACGATGGCGAGCGACGTAGCTGCGCAGCTTGCTAGCCAGCCGGTACATAACACCGGTATACCTCCCGAAAATTTCCTTTGTCCCTATTGTCCGTGGACTTTTCATCATCAGAACGGCACTCACGATTCTGCCGAGAAAATTTCAGATTTCAGCTCTGTCGCTCTTTGTATCTTCTCTCTGCTCTCCCCGATCTGGTGATCTCCTCACCTTGCTCGCATTCACGAGAAGTTTGTCGCGAAAACTCTGTTGCTTCTTCTAAAATTTAAGATGTATCAAAGACAGCTTTTTTTTACAAAGATGACATGATATTAGCAATTTTTGATTCTTTGATCTGTAAGAATGAGAAGAAATCTAAAGAGTTTCAGGAATTCTCGATTTCAAGGATACGAATGGGTGACAAAATGTTATTTCAAGCGGATATGGCAGTATTATTTGAAATTGATTTTCTTTTTTCTTACATCAATCTTATAATTAGAAAATATTCGTGTTAATAATAAGTAATAAAAAGTAAAGTTATACACCAAAATGAAAAAAGAAATTTCAAGTGATATTATCTTTAATTTTTATACGATAAGATCTAGGAGTACTTATCTTTCTACTCCCATTAAAAAGTTTTTCTATTTCAAATCAAAAGATAATTTTAGTTGTTCTTTAGAAAATTATTATTCCCGTCAATTTGTAAATTAAATATGTATGTTAATATAAAGAGATTTGCTAAATACATTTGTCATATATAAAATTCTTTCTATACTGAGAAAAAGTTTACTAAATCTTAATGCATATTTCTTGAAATATAATTAAATGGACATTTACTTATAAATATTTACTCAATAAAAGAAAATAATAGTTAAATCAAAATATAATAGTTTTTGTATCAAAAATAAATATATGTTTTAGTAGATATATTTATTTAGAACTGTTTATAGATATTTATTAAAATTTAGTGAAAAATTTAGTAAAAAGTTAAAATTTGTTCAGTGTCGCGCGATTAAAAAATCATATAATTTATTTAATTAAAATTTACAATTTATTTTGTATTTCTTTATTGCGTGTAAGTATAATCAATTAGCAATGCATCTTAATATAGGAAAAATAGAGAAACTATAGATATATCTGAGAGTTTGCGGAATAGAAATCAAAGAATAAAAGTAATGGTCCTTTTTTGTCGGGTCGTTTTCCTCGATTTCAATGGAGATGGACAGACAATCGTAGAAAAACAACCCCGGAATTTGCATGTTCAATGAAAAATTCTTTTTCCTTTTTTTGTTCGTAAAAGAATCACCATGGTCAAGCACCATGGTGAATCTTCAGTTTTTGTTTGTACTGGGTTGTACTATATATTCAATACCGAAAATATTCTTTTCCTTCCGTTGTCTATTCATTCGTCTAGTCGTTTTAACTTTATATTATATTATATTATATTCGAAGCTGTAAGATAATTCTACAATAAATCGAGTTATCATAGAAATGTCTAATTTTTTTAATACAATGAAGTTGAAGCACTGAACTTTCTTGACATGTGCAAAATTCTAGGATACGTTATCTATTATTATTTATTATATATTTATACTTATTTATTACATTTTATAATTGTACTTTAATATTTTTATGAACAGAATAATGAGGTGAATCAATTAGTGTAAAGAAAACGCGTAGCTGTTTATTATAAAAATATACATTTTGTCTACAAATTTTTTTAAAACAACTTTTGTGTTTTCTTTATATCAATTGATTTATTTCATTTTTCTATTCATAAAAGTATTAAATACGATTATCAAAAAATTAATAATTTACTAGATATTTAAGAGTTTATACTAATGTGAGAGAATAATGTATAAAGTATTTCAGAAACACTTATTGATTTCACGATGCTTGTATCTTAATACTTTTATACGCAGAATAACTAGAGAAATAATATTACAAAAAAGTCATACAATTCTATTTAAAAAAGCAAAGAACTTTGAAATTTCAAAGCGTCTCCATCTCTATAGAAAAATTATTAGTAGCGTATTGTACCCTTCTTGATATAATGCTATATAATTTCAGAAAATATATTACTTTATCAATAATAAATAAATTACTTTATATTTTAAAAAATAATGGGGTGAATCTAAGTGGACAGAATTACTGAGCCTCATCCTGTATATGTATTATATATGTGTGTGTAATTGTTGAATTATCCATATATTCTAATAAAATATATTTTCTAATAAAATGCGTTACAACACTTACAACATTATAACATTATAACATGACATTATAATATTATAACTGCGCTGTAAACAATAAAATATTAATTTTAACTTAAAGACGTTGAGTAAATTTTCTGAGATGTGCAAGAAAATTCGATCAATTATTTTTTACAGTGTGCCATCTTTTAACATTAGGCTAAGCTTATAGCTTTTTTCTTTTAGTATTTCAATAGATGTTTATTTCTTTTGAAATTCCAACGATTTCTTCTTCTCTATAGTCTTTTTAGAATAAGTGGAGAAAAACCATTGGGAATGCATATATCCGGTCAAGCTCTCTTGGTGGTAAAGGGATTATTAATGGAAGGTCAGCATATTTTTGGAAGGTTCTCTAGTATGTCCTTTTGGCGACAATTCTCGTTTATTTTTAAGAAATAAGAAATGTAGGAAATAGAATGCGATTGGGATTTGTTATAAAGAATTGTGAAAATATTTCAATTATTTTTGAACGACCATACATTTTCGAAAATCAATGTTGCATATCGATTTCGGAGTCACTAAAATGGACAATATTGAGAGAAAATATTAGAAAATCTGGTAAGCATTATATGACCGCGTCACATTACACATTGGAGATTGCGAACTGAAAATTGGAATTTGATCAATCAGATAATTTTAATTTTAATCCGTTTGATATTGACTTAACTGAATTCTTATCCTCAGTTCGTAATCCTTTTAGAACATTTTATCGATATTTGTACATTCTATGACAATTCTTTTATTGTTCTGAAATATTCGGCACTTTGAGAATACGAATCAAATTTCTATGAATTTAACGTTAACTACGACTTAATCTCCAATGCTTAATGTGACATGGGCATTAAATGTGTATCACAGATTGATTCAAGATGTAGAATTTCTTAAATCACAAAGATAAGTATAAATGGAAAAGCTGTCGTAAGTCACTATCCTGTATAAATCGTTTGATCGATTTCGAAGTAACTGAAATATACACACTAAAAGCAGTATCGAGAGATAGCAGTACGGAGAGAAAACAGGGAAAACGTTGAGGGGATTCAAAGTTTGGTCAATGTCAACACCTGCCGAACGTTGCCGGCGCGTGCCTGTTTTGTTTGCACATTCGATTACCGTAATCATGACGTTGAAATATTTTTAAACACAAGTGAAATTATAAGTATCTCGAATACCATACGGTCTAAGTATGCAGAAAATATTCATGCCATTCTATGCGAAAGTTGAATTACATAACGTAAAAATAACATAAAATTAGCACACATCATCGTTATACAAATCGTTGAAATTAATCGACGAGAATAAAAAACGGAGGAAAGGAAAGGTGCCGATCCCTGTAGAAAGTGAATAAAACATTCGGAATAGATTTCCTTTGAAAAAAAAAAAAAGAAAATTCGTCATAATTCGAAATAATTCACCCTGTATATCGTATTATTATATCTAATGGATATCACAGCGGATCGTTAATGGACGATGACCGTCAATTATATCTCATTCGAATAATCGCGTTGGGAAATACATCGCGGCGTCACAATTACGTCGCAAAGCCTGCAATTTCGCGACCTTATCGCTTTATAAGTGCATTCGGAAATCTCGAGGGGCACGTATAAGAGGTACCCCGGGTACCACTGGTAACGTCAGTAGACCGTATGGACCTTTGCGCGGTAGGCGCAGGAGCCCAGATGGCAAGCGCCCGGTGTACCCTTGCTGAAATTTTTGACCGCGAGTACCAAGACGACGCGCCGCTCCTCCGTCCTCGTATACCTCGTGCCACCTGCTGCAACACGTAAATCAGCCCCGCTCGTTAAACGCCACGATTTCCGATGGATACGAGCGCAGTTCCAATGACAAGCCCCTGCTCGATTAAATTATTCGTTTTACCTACCGCGCGATTGCTCTCGGAATTCTGGAACTTTGTACCGCTCATCTTCGCTCGTTTTATATAGGCTGATGTTCCTAACGGTTCTTGTATTTGAGATTGCCTCAAGAACAGTCTTAAGATGTCGTAAATCAATCAAAAGAGCCGTATTAGTATCGTTAGATATGAATACCCCGTCTAGATTTATAGAATTATACATATAATTAGAAACGTGTTTATAAAAAAACTATATGTATATTCATTCAGCTTAATTTAATTTGTAACATTATGTATTTCAGCTTTATTTTAAGACTTGGTGTTTCACAAGATTGACAAATGATCAGAACGCAATTTACTTAAGTTGAAAATAGTAAATTTGTCAAAATTTCTGCAAAAATATTATTAAGCACCAACATATCCGCTTTGATCAAATATGATCTTTTATTAATTGTGTTGTGAGAAAAATATAATATTTATAAATTCTAGAATTCAGCCCTGCGTCCACGATGTTAGAACTTGGTCCGATTTTGCGGACCGAGAAATGTGTAGCCAATCGCAATTTGCTATTTTTCCATAATCGGCTACACATTCCTGGATCCAAGAATTCGACCGAGAGAGTTCTAGCACATTCCAAAATTCCAACGAACAACTGAGATCGACTGTATAAACAAACCTGTAAACAATATTGACATTAACATCAATAATACGAATGTCGTCCTAATGCAATAACAAATATATACGATGTAACAGAGAGATTATAGGTCAGGGACGATTATCGCATCCGCTCGGGATTTATTCGCCTTCTCGAAGGCGTCCCTATATATACATACTTCGCTACGGAATTTTCTTTTCTAAACAGCAGAACGCATTCTCTGTATACACGCGTCCGATCGATCGCATGCGGATCGTTTCTCACGCTTTGATTTTTTTCCCTTCCGTCGTGTCGCGTAACTCGTATTTCCACGTGCACACGCACGCAGGGGAAAGAGGGATCGAGAGAGAGAGAGAGAGAGAGAGAAAGAGAGAGAATGTGAATCTCGCCGGCAAGAGGAGACGTGCATTACGGTTAAAAAGAGGGAGAGAGAGAAAAAGGAGAGAAAACAGCATGAAGAGTATTGAGTTGCAGCGGGAGAGAGCATTTAGAAACGATCACTCGCACGCGGCCATGCGATGTTACAGTTCGGTACGGGTTTGAAAAGATCTTTGTTCGAGTGTCGGAGAGCGCGAGGAGCGCGAGGAAGTGGGTCCGTGCGCGCGCGCGCGAGCGCTCACGCGCGTGTACGTCCCCGCGTGCGTGAGAGCGCGAGCGCACGCTGCCGGAAGTCAGACGTGCATCATATAATGCCTCTGGGTGCGCCTCGCCCGCCCGCCCGCTCGTCGCTCGCCGGCTATTTCTCGCTTCACTGGCAAATAAAAAACAATATAACGATATCTCCCGGATTCGCGATTCGACGCCGCTCCGTTGTTAGAAAAATTGTTAGAGCTCACCCGTCGCTGTTCCCCGATCTCGCAAATTTAAACCCCAATCTATTTTCTGCGGGCTATGGTTCCTCTTCTTCCTCTGCGTTTTCCTCTGCGTAAATCAACCAAATTCAAGAATTTATACGCTGTTTATGCGATCCGACGAAACGAATGCAATTTTTTTTTGCAAACATGGTTTCTACTTTACCGACGGGAGATGTGGGCTCTACTTTAATCAACGGGAGACAAAAGCATATTACTTTACCGATAGTTCTCGAGTGTAGGCTGTAATAATTAGAGATACATAGCGACACCATTCGGAAGTAGATATATATGCATAGATTTATAATTGTATTGATCATCTATCGATATTAGATGTTTTGTGTTTTATTCATCATATAAATATAGTAGAATCGAATAATTCGGTAGAATGCAGTTTACCATTGACCGCGTCACACGAGGCATGTAGAATACAACGGGATTAGTGCCTTTCACTTTTAAGTGACACGAGATTTCTTTAACGATCTCGTGCCACGAATCCACGATGACGCGACCGGAAAGCTCTTGTGCCTTATAATTTCGGGGCGGAGCTGAGGAATGTATTTTGAATAAATGACAATGTTGCCATTATGCATTTCGAGAGAAGGCATCAATCAAATTCAATACAAGGATAAGTACTTATTGCTGTGAGGATTAAAGCCAATAATTTGTTTTCTGGGAGATCCTCGACGACAGTCTGTTGTTAACTGAGTGAGATGAACATTCCATATTGTGGTAGAGGAAATTACAAAATTTAGCAAAACTTATATATAAGATAGTATAATACTGTTCATTGAAAAGAAAGAAAACATGAATGAAATCAAGGATAATACGGTGCGAGTGGTCTTTATATCCTTGTTGCTGGATCTCCTAGCATTTACAATGATACTGCCACTGCTACCAGCTCTATTGGATTATTACAAAGAGATAGAAAAGGAACATGGATTGTATTCTACTATTTTGAATCATATGAAGAGCATACAAATTTTCTTAAATGCACCAGATAAAGTCAGCACAGTTCTTTTTGGAGGTTGATATTTATACTTTTATTTAAAAAAATTAATAAATTTTGTGTTATATATTTTTAAAAGTAAATTGTCTTATTCTGTTTCATAGGTTTTCTGGGATCTATGTATTCCTTCTTACAATTTTTAGGCTCACCTATCATAGGGGCATTATCTGATATTTATGGACGAAAACCTTTGATGTTACTTTGCTTGACTGGCATTTCACTCTCTTATCTTTTATGGGCTCTATCTACAAATTTTGGTATATTTGTATTAGCCAGATTTGTAGGTGGCATTAGCAAAGGAAACATCAGTCTATCAATGGCTATTATCAGTGATGTCACATCTCCAAAAATTAGAGGAAAGGCAATGGTAAAGAAATATATAAGCACAAGCATCTGATGCGTAAATAAATAGCATCTATTTAAAATAAGTTAATTTACTTAATACCATTCAATTCTAAATTACATTCTCTTACTTTTGTAGGCACTTGTGGGAATAGCCTTCTCCGTCGGTTTTGTTGTGGGACCAATGATAGGAGCATTTTTTGCATGGATTTCCAGTAGTAATAGAGAAGGCACATGGTATATGGTACCAGCACTATTTGCGCTCTTCCTTGCCTTAAGCGACTTATTTTTTGTTACTTACTACTTGAAGGAAAGTCTGTCGTCGAAACATAGAGCTGCCACTTTAGCAAAAGGATTATCTGGGGCAATTTCTTACATTAATCCTATTGACCTCTTCCAATTTAACGGAGTCATGAACTTGAGTGAGCGAGGTATTCTAGAAAATATATATCAAATATACCGAAAATGTTTTTTTTAAATATATTTTATAAGCAATGTAATGTTATTGCTATCAATAACTATATCTTTATTTTTAGATCAACAAGACTTGAAGATATTGGGCCGAGCATATTTTATATACCTTTTTATATACAGTGGTTTGGAGTTTACTCTGACATTTTTGACTCATCATACGTTCGGATTTACGAGTATGCAACAAGGTTGGATGTTTCTTGGGATTGGACTGATCATGGCAGTTCTCCAGGGTGCTTGGGTCCGAAATATACCCCCGAATAAAACTAAAACTATCAGTGAACTGGTAATCTTAATTATCAATCTTATACATATTTATCAGTTATTAGATGACAATTGTTTATTCAATGATATTTAAAAAATATTTTTTTAGGGTTTATGGCTAATAATTCCTGCATTTATATGTATCGGTATTGCTACCAATGTACAGATGTTGTGTATCGGAATTTTTCTTTTCGCAGTTTGTGAGCATTATGTTCATTTATTTTTACCGATATAAATTCAAACTTATTATTTAAATATAGTGCATACAATAATACGTTATAACAATAATTCATATTATTTACTACAGCCACTGCGATGGTTGTGACTTGTATGATGACTCTGGTAACACGTATTGGACCCGAACATCAGAAGGGTGCAATCACTGGTATATTTCGATCCCTGGGTGCACTGGCTCGGGCTTGCGGACCTATCGTCGCGTCCTCAGGTAAATCCAAGTGAATCAAACTCGCAAAAGTGCTTTTGTTTTATTAATTTAATTTTCTTAAGCGCATATATTATTTCAGCTTTTTGGTGCATTGGGAGTGCCACAACGTATTTAATTGGAGCTGTACTTCTCACGCTACCGCCGCTGATTTTGCATAGCATGCGTACTTTATAACATTTAGCATACTCCTAAATGTTATGCTATCCTCTGCCATTTTTAAGCTTAAAAGGTATACTTTACATACAGTATTTTTATACCGTTTTATACACATTAGCTTTATAATTTATACATTCCAACTTTTACTAATTTTACATTAATTTTTAAAAGAAATTAATATTTATATATTATATTTCACATTTTAAGTGATACGAATAGTGATATGAAGAAAGTAATAATCTTCATCATTGTATTAATAAATCCTTCAAAAACAGTATCCAGACATCACATTTGTTATTCATATCTAGCTTGTTGTAGTTGTTATACATATTAAAAAGCTTGAGTCGCATATATAAATATATCTATATGTATTTATACATATACATGACAAAATTATTTATTGAATTATATTTTATATATAAAATATATATATATATATGTAATGTTATACATATATAATTTTTGTGATAAAAGTAACAAACATTGTTACAAAAAAATATATAAAATTTACATTTGAACGTTATACACACATAAGCCTCATCTACAATTGTAAAAGTTTAAAATCATTCAATATTTCAATAAATTAAACATTTTTTATATAGTACACAAATTATTATTATACTAAGTTACATCCGCCTATAACGTAGTTCTCAAATTAATCTGCGTTCTTTTTACACTTTCTATACTTTCTCCGAATATCTGAAGGCTAAACTGAGGACGGATTTGCGTAAACGGATTCGCGCGGATAAATCGTGATTTATCGATAAACGGTGATCTCTTTCTAATTTGTTTATTTACAATTCGTACGCGCACGCTGATCATTTCAGCGCGTCCAGTGACGAAATAGTGGCCTAGTGTGCGGACGAGGAAAACTGCAACTGAAGAAGAAAAACAAATTCGTCGCTGGTGTGTGAAGGTTGGTGAAGTTTATCGCAGTTTATCGCAGTTTATCGCAGTTTATCGATAAATCACGGCGGCACGGCGCGCGATCGTTTGCGCAGCGCGCAGGTCCGGCGGCGGTCACGTGACCGGTCCCACTCCCACAATCGTCCCCACTATTAGTCGACGGCGCCGTTTACGGTAGGAAATTCTTGGAATTTCCACCCGTGTCGGTTCATTCCGTCGTCATCCGCGTCGGCCGACGGTGCCCGACGGCCTGTGATGTACGCGGTCGAGAGGACGGCCGAGGGAGCGGATTGGAGCGGAAGCGACGGTAGGAGGACTTCTTCGGGGTGTAACTTTCGGGAGAAGGGACAGGCAAGCAGGTCCCGAACGGGCGTTATTGATGGCAGCGTGGGTGTGAGTCCGATTGCACGCAATAATTACTTCTTTCCGCGATTATTGCGCGGCCAGTGCGGATTATAGTTGTCGCATCGCGCGCGTCAGCGATACGTTCAAGGTCGCCGGCGCGAAACAACAACGAAGAAAGCCGAGCTGCGATAGCAGCGGCGGCGGCGGCGACGACGACGTCGGCGACGATTACGCCGTGTCTATTGCGTCGTACAAACGTCTTCGCCAAAAAACATCTGTTTCCAAAAACGAGGGAGTAGCAGGGCCGACGATCGAGTACCAAGTGAGTTTCCATTCGTCGAAATTCCGGAGCGGTCTTCGTTTACTCTTTGCCCGCTATTCGCCCCGCTCTTCTCCCACCTTCCCCCTTCATTTCTCTGCCCCTCTTCCTTCTGCCCACCTCCTGCGTTCTTATCTATTTGCGTGTTAACGTCGCGCGATTCACTTTTTTTTTTTTTTTCTTCTGCTTCCTCGGCTCGGCGATAGAACCTTTCGCGAGATTCTTTCTTTTAAGGGACTTCGTCGCCAACTTTTTTTTCACTCTGGAGCGAACTTCCGTTGCCTGCGAATCTCGCGCACGCGGCGTTCTCCATTCTTTCGAAGTTCCAGCCTGCGACGTCTTCGCTCCTCCGCGAGCCCGCTCGGCCGCGGCAAATTGTCGCAGACGATAAAAATAAATCTGCGAGACCGCTCTTGTTTTTTTTTTCTTTTTTTAAATTAGACGTATAATTATTACGATGCCATGGACAAAGACATTTTACGAGGCACCTTGAAGTCGATTATTATACAGGGTATATTGTCTTTCAGTATCTTCTGATCGAGCTTTAGCAACGAGTCATAGTCCTCGATGATCTGAGTAATAACGGATTACATAATGTATCGCGTATTTATTCGAATACCGGGATTCTGAAATTCCATTCGGCTGCAAAGCGAAAGGAACGTTTGCAAGATCTATTTATAATGATATTCTTTTACGAGTACAATTCGTTGAGATTTAGCGATGAGATGGCGTCGATTGTTTTTGGAACTTTCTATTTTGTATATTAGACCGGATTCCATCATACAAGATTACCTTCGTAATTAACTTTAATTTATTCTTTGTCTGCTTTTTCTAATTTTAAGAATTAGGAAAAGATAAGCATTAAATTAAATCAAAATTAATTTTAACATCAGTTTAATGCTTGCTCTTTATTCTTTTTTCATTTTTATGCCTGTTTTTATCAATGCAGTTTATAATTTTAATCTTGGTTCAAATAATCCTTTACTTTTATCTAAGAGTTAGAAAAAGATGAAGATTAAGTTAAACCGAGATTAAAATTTTCCTGAAGTTATCCTGAAGTTAATTTTATTGGTAGAAATGAGCGTCAGAATGACTTCAATTAAATTCTGATTAACTTAATCAGCAATGAAGGAACATGTAATAGATATAGTCTACTAAATATATATTAAATACTTATACAGACAGCAGAATTGCCCACGTTTAAATTTCTAGCTATTTTAACACTGATAATATAAATATCTTTTTTTGGAATTAACAAAGAATTAATGATCGATGATAGAAACGGTAGAATTGCCCACAGCAAAGCTTCTATTTTATCATTTAAATAATAAATAGCCAGCCATTTTATTGTCTCCAGTTTAAATATCTCTATTGCGTCAACAAATATAATTAGCTATTTTATTTATATTAACGAAATACTATTATAATTGATCTGTTTAATAAAAATTCGTTAAATAACATCCATAATAATTTATCAATATAAAATAAAAGAAAATTTGTCTGACACATATGAAAGATTAGATTAGCTACGATGAATCGTACAATTGGAATTTCTGTCGTAAGCGATTCTGCCAAGTCCAATCAAAATCGCCAGTTAAATTAATTTAAATTTTTGATCAGAGTCACCCTTAAGACTATATCGACCTTTAAGATGAAATATCTGATTAATATAATGTAACGGACATTTTCTTTAAATCAGAAAGATTACAATCTCGCAAAATGGCGCTGTGGTTGAAAGCACAGCAGCTGTCGCAAGATTCTTTGCAAAAGGTGCGCAACATATATGGCGAACACTTCCCGATTGAAGTGAGACACTTCTTGTCATCATGGATCGAAGAGAAGATGTGGTAAGCATAATGTATAAAGAAAGCACAGTCATTTTTTGATAAATAAAAATTTCGTATTTATATATGCATGCACATTTGTATAAATAAAGAATTCTGATTAAAAAACGGCTGTGAAAACTGCCCCTTTATCATATTATAAGTATATCTCGAACTCTTGAATATGATCTCTATTTTTTATTTCTTTATTTTCTTATTTTCTAGAAAATATGTTTTAAATCTCTTGAATAAATTAAATAATATTGTCAGAGTTGCTTTAAGTCTAGAAAATCGTGAAAACTGAAGAAAAAAACAAGGAATCTATTATCAAAGCAAAGTAAAATGTGAATGTCACCGATTTTACATGGACTCTTCGATTTATAAGAACTGACTCGGTTTAAATTTTAAATTTCAATTATTAATTTTTTTAATCTTTAAAATAATATTTCTAACATGTACATTTTTAGTTGCTCATTATATCGGAAAAATATCGATATTTTTTCGTAAAACTTATAAATATGCAAAATCTTCTAATTCTTAATTTCTCGAAAACCACTGTGTATTTAATTGTAAGGATATTTTAGTGTAACTCGAGAGATGTGATCACCTAATAAAAAAATATCATAAAAATTTCAACTATAAAATCAGTGTTCCTCATTCCACGGTTTTTTTTTGTTAAAATATTAAATTACTCTATCATCTTGATATTATAAAATTCTAATATTTTAAATTACTTTTTAAATGTATGTTATATTATTCTATATATAAACCCTATTTTATTTATATTTTATTCAACTATTAAATTATTAAACAAAGTTTATAAAATTATTTAAAAAAGCACTGATAATTTTTTTATAATTTTGCAGTGAGTCATTTGCGAAAGCTATTAACAGAAATTGTAGTTAAAAGAATTCTATTTTTTAATTTTTTTAAAATTTTAATAAATAAATTTTAATTTTTTTTTAATTTTTTGTTTTGTTCAGCGTTTGAGAAAAAAAAATTTCTTCAAAAAAATGGTAAAGAAAGTCGGGAAAAAATCAGAGAATATTTTTTTGTATCTATAGCAACTGATTATGCAATCTGAGGATATTGTTGATGTTGTAGGAACAACATAGAACCGGAAAACCCACAATTTGAACACTATGTAAACAGCTTTGTTGGATCACTGATACTTGAGTTAGAATCAAAAGCAAACACTCTTACTACGGAAGACATGTTTGTGACAAAGATGAAATTGATAGAGGCTGCTAGCATGTTCCGAGTGAGTTATACATCTCTTGTGTTTCGTGTTTATCTGTTTGATTGAATTATAAGATGTTACATATCTATTGTTCCTTTATTATAGCAAAGATACAGTGAAAATCCAATGTCATTGTATAAAATAATTAGACACTGTTTGGGCACGGAAATGAAATTAGTAGCAGAAGCCGAACATTTAGGAGGTTTAATAAGCAGTGACAGGGTCAGTTTGATGATAGGCGATACGGTAACGGAAATAGCTCATCAGGTCGATATATTACGGCGAAAGACATATGAGACCGGGGAGGATTTACGAAAGATAGAACAGGAACAGGAGTCTTTCGCTCTTAGTTATCACGAGTGTACGAAACTGAATGCTCATTTGCAACATATCTCTATGCAAGTGCAGAATCAGCAAAATATGGAGATGGAAAAAAAGATTAGAAGGTAAAACAATTGTTTTACAATTTACAATGTAAAATGTACAATGTATTACTATTACT